TGGTGTGACAACCCATAGAAGCATGGCCTGTGGGGATCTGGTGGTGCAAGTTGATGTTCTTGGGGAAAGATGCTTTGACAAGTAACAAGGTCCCAAACCATGGAGGGCTTTATAAGTAAGAACCAAAACCTTGAACTTGGCCTGGGACATCATAGGGAACAAGTGCAGGTAAGCCAAAACTGGGGAGATGTTGTCAAATTTATTCTCTACCTGCTTTAGGTTCCATGTCAGTCTTAAGAGTAAGCCCACATAGAAAGTGTTACAGTACAGTAGTTGATATTGGAGACCACTAGCACATGCACCAACGTCTTCAGGGAGCCTCATTCGTATAGGGATGAAGCTGGGAGATCAGCCTTTTGGTTGAAGGCTGACCTGGACACAGCTACAATCTGGGAATCCCATGATAGAGCCAGTTCCATGAACACACCCAGAGTAGGGAGACAATTCTCAAACTTTTCAGAAGGACCCCTCAGAATAAGAATCTTTTGTCTTATCCAGGATCAGCTTCAGTCTGTTAGTCCATCCCAGAACTGAGGCCCAGCAGTGCTCAAGCAGCCAGATAATATCCACTGCAGATGATGCAAATGAGATACAGGATTTTAAAAGGCTGCAAATGGATTGCTGGTGAAATCATGAAGGTGGGGGCATTGCTGATGTTGTGAACCATCCAGAAAAGCTCCACTTGCTGGTTCGCAGCCTCACTAATGATAGTAAAATTGAAGGCCCTTTTCAGTGATTTTAAGGTGCTGGTATAGGTCCTGATTTTTTTAAAAAGCACAAAGCAAAGTGTGCTGCTTATATATCACCTTATAGAGATTAAAAATCTTGCTGGGTGGTTTACAACTTAATTATTCAGGCTGGATTCCGAAGGGGCAGAGGAACTAGAGACCAAATTGCTAACATGCGCTGGATTATAAAGAAAGCCCGAGAGTTCCGGAAAAACATCTACTTCTGCTTCATTTACTATGCAAAAAGCCTTTAACTGTGTGGACCACAGCAAACTATGGCAAGTCCTTAAAGAATTGGGACTGTCTCACCACCTTATCTATCTCCTGAGAAACCTATATGTGGGACAGGAAGTAACAGTTAGAACTGGATATGGAACGATTGGTTCAAAATTGGGAAAGGAGTACGACAAGGATGTATATTGTCCCCCTGCTTATTCAACTTATATGCAGAATACATCATGCGAGAGGCTGGACTGGAGAAATCCAAACCGGAATTAAGATTGCCAGAAGAAGTATCAACAACTGCCGATATGCAGATGATACCACGCTGATGGCTATGGTTTTCCCTGTAGTGATGTATGGAAGTGAGAGCTGGACCGTAAAGAAAGCTGACCGCCGAAGAATTTATGCTTTTGAATTGTGGTGCTGGAGGAGGATTTTGAGAGTCCCCTGGACTGCAAGGAGAACAAACCTAACAATTCTAAAGGAAATCAACCCTGAGTGCTCACTGGAAGGACAGATCCTGAAGCTGAGGGTCCAATACTTTGCCCATCCCATCTCATGAGAAAAGAAAACTCCTTGGAAAAGACCTTGATGTTAGGAAAGTGTGACGGCAAGAGGAAAAGGGGACGACAGAGGATTAGATGGTTGGACAGTGTCATCGAAGCTACCAACATGAATTTGACCCAACTCTGGGAAGCAGTGGAAGACAGAAGGGCCTGGCGTGCTCTGGTCCATGGGGTCACGAAGAGTTGGACATGACTAAAGAACTAAACGACGACAATTCAGGCTACACAGTGCCCCTCCAGCAAGCTAGCTACTGTACTCATTTTACTGACCTCGGATGGAAGGCTTATGAACCTTGAGCTGCCTGCCTGGGATTGAACAAATACTCTCTAGGCACCTCCTTCATAGCTGGAGGCTCCCCCATAAACCAGAGGGAGAGTCAAGCTCTGAGATGGAGAGAACATTTGGGAGCAATCATGTCAATTGCCTGGGCCACATCGGTGTTTATAGGCATGTCATTATTGTTCAAAAATTATGAAGTACCTGTATTGCCAGAGGTTCTTTAACACCTTCTGAAGGAAGTGGCATGTAACTCCCACCATAGCAATCTAGCTGTTATATAAAGAATGCATCAAATTATACACACATCCATGCAAACCCATACACTGATAACAAATGGGTGAAAATTCTTTTAGTCTTCCATGCAGAATCCTGAAGGCAGAGGCCCTATCAACTGTTCTTTTCCTCCTCTTTACTTGGAGAAATTCATTAACTCTCCTCAGGGAAAGAGGGGGATAATTTACTACTTATTAGGCTAACTTTCCGCCTACTGTTGCCAAGTATGTCTGGCATTAATTCTCCACAGAGTCAAATACTGCTGTTTGACAGCAATAAGCCCTCGCCTCTTTGGAGAATCTTTGGGTTCCCAAGGGCTTGTCTTGATTGCCTTGGCAAAAGAAGGTTTCAAAGGAAGTGCATTGGAAATCACAGCTCATTGCAGCTCTTCAGCTGTATGTGGCTTTCTTTTGCATGGACACTACTGGCTTTTTTCTCCCTTGGCCCAAGAACTGAGGTACACATAATAGCCCTGGCCTGCTTCATGAATGAAGATGCAAAGAAGTTGTCTTCTCTATATTTATGGCCAACTGGAAGGTGGTCCTTGGATGAGAATTATCACTACTAGGCTCACACATTTGATTTGCACCATTGCCTTATACCATGTAGCCTGTGACAAAGGTGGTGTGAATCAGTCTTCCTTAAAACAAGATTTTTGACATGATCATAGTTTTAACAAAAGAGAAGCCAAGTAATACATTATAGGTGCACAATGCTACGTACTGTACTCGTATTACCAATAATTGCACGGGTGAACATTTCAGCCAATTATTTTTTTAAAATGACATGCCAGCTATTACCCTTTTTTTATTTCTAGGTGGAAGGAAATAGCAAGTCTCACAAGACATAAGAAGCCAACAATGAGTAACTAGCTCCCTCCTGTGGCTCCACGCCAAAGTTTATTTCAAGAATAAAGTGTTATTATTACATTTATTTTAATATCAGATATGTGGAACTAGGAGATTAATGCCTGGCCATTCAACTCATTTTAGTCATCCAAGCTTAATACAAAACAAACAGCTACATGAAATGCAATGTTTGTATGCGCTTGATTAGGACAGTGCTACGATAATGACTGTGGTTATGAACCAATTATGACACATCATTAATGTGAAAAGAGATTTAGGGATCTTCCCTAGGTCACATTCCAGGGATAAGATCAATTCAGGCTAACTCTGAGCAGGTGTTCTTCAAATTATTTAGATTTTTGCCCAGCTAGCCAGCAAACACTGTTTGAGATGCTGATGCTTTTCAATGGGAGTTAGGAATCTGTGGCCCTCCGGGTCAGTGGTAGCAGATGGTGCAAGTTGTATTCCAACTCCCCAAGCGCTGTTTTAGAACTAGCACCAGCTAGAATGTTCACTATTGGGTTCCTCTGAAACCTGTTTAAGCTGATTTGGGGGAGAGGGGGAAAGCTGACAAAGATAGCAGCTGAAATTCAGTAGTAAGTCGCAACTAGAGTGGGCCCATTGAATCAACAGAAAGTCTTTCATGATTTGACTCATCAAATCTCCAATGATTCAATACTGCTCCGGACAGCACTTGCCCCATACAAGTTTCTATATATAACCAGCAGTGTTTAGAGGCTGGGTCATCTGTCTTTTGCTGTTCTTAATTCATAGTTAGCTATTACTAGACTGAAGAGCAATGGCCAGTCTGCATTATCCATTTTAGAGTACATTATGTTTGTCAGCTGTTCAGTGCCAACGAGGATCACAAGTGGGACCTTGCCATGTGGAGTATTCTTATCCAGTTGTCCAGCTGTACAAGTCCATTTCCCCAAACCACTTCAGTTTGCTACACACTTCCTTCTATAAGCAAGCAGACCACATGTGTCTTTGATTTGTTATGAAAGATCCTCTGTCACAGGTGTGGCTTTTTGAGATTTGACTGGTGAAAAAGCCTTCCCATTTTCCTCCAGACACACTCTATATATAGCAGGTGATATACATTCTTTGATCTTGAACTCCCGGGCTTCTTGTTCAAGATGGCCTGATGACTACAAACAGTTAAAGCCAAGTCTACGTGGTCCTTGTCAGTGAAGGATTGTGACAGACATAACTGCCTGGCAGCCATGACAAATTGTGGACTCTTAAGTGGGAAATAGAGCCCCGAAATAGTTATCAAGAAGAAGTGCTTGTGTTAACTTGAACATGAAATAAAGAGGCTTAATGAGGTTAGGACACTTGACCTGACTGTCCCTTTTCCCTCTAATCCTAAAAGCTAGTCTGTTCTTTCTCAGAAGAACAAGACATGGCACTGCAGAAGAAGTAGAGTACCTCTTTATCTCTCTTACAGTCTAAAATATCTCAAGACTGAAGAGTCAGAACTGCAATGGCATGTGTACTCTCCATATGTTAAAAGAGTAACAGCCACCAATTCATGTTACCCTTCTTAAAACTTAAACTACATCCCATGCCCAATATCACAGATCACCTTCCGACCCATCTATTTAGCTGCTCCTATTTTGATCCATAGTATTAGTTCGGTCAGTGATTTGCAGGAGCGAAAATGAAGAGGCTTTCATTTCTTCCAGTTTTTGAACTGTGCATTGCTAATTTATCAGTGCCAGGTCTGGAAAATAGAAGATCAAAGGAAGACATCATATAGTCCTGTTCAGTAATGATGTAAGTTTTGCAACTTTAAAAAAAAAAAGAACATTAGGAAGCCTGTATTTGACATGTGATCATTGTACAATATTGCCAGTTTTTCTTTGCAGGTGTTCAAATTCAAAACACACATGTATGCAGAAATGTCCAAATTCTGTGATAATTCATATTCCCTATAGGATCCTGGTCAAGCACAGTTCAGTTCCAGAAGTACATGCTTTTAAAGTTAGCAAGCACGTGTTTGCAAATTCCTCCTCCTCTCAGATTTTACTTAATTTTGTCTCTAAATTAATAATTAACTGAAGAACCTATTAACAAGGCACCAATGCCAATGGTTATTTAATGCAGGAATTCTACATTAACAGAGAAAACAAGACAATACATCATCATATCACAACAACACATACTTTACATTGTTACATTGCACACATAAGTAAAGCTTAAATGTTTAAGAGCAGAACACAAACACTCTTAGAGGCAGTTCCTTTCCAGGATCAGAATACTGTTGGAGTTGCTTTCACTCCCACTGTTGCTAATATTTGAATGGCATATGCGTTCTATATTTAAATATTCTTGACAAATTTAGTAGCACCCAGATTTAGAGAGCAAAGCTTCATGAACTTTTGTAACATTTTGCACAGTTCACAGGATAATTTTTGCTGGACCAAGAAAATGTATGATACAACAAATGAAAAAACAGAAAGAAGGGATCCAGGGTTGCTTGCTATCCTGAATCAACAGTGTTATTTTGGGTTAGAAAACACAGAGACAGTTACCTTCAAGGTCTAAAAGCCACTCATGACCACACCTAAGTAAAAGAAAAGAACTAGAATTCTGTTCAAGGTGGTTCACAGCAGTTGTCACCACAAGTCATTCTGCTCCGCATAAATGCTTTATCCAGTGCATCCATCTCCCTGATGGGAGGAGGACTCAAAAAAGTCAGATCAGACGCATTTTCAAACGATCTTGGGATTATGTGATAGAGCCAGCTTAAGATTTGTGGAATCCCTCTTCCTCCCTATGTATAAAACCAAAAGACTGTGTCTTGCCACTTCATTAATGTGGGCCTCACCACAGTAGAAAGTTACAGATCTACCTGTGATCTATCTACATAAGCCTCCAGCAACTCTACATGGCACATCTACTGCCAAGTATGGTTGCAGGATGTTCATCTACACACATTTTTAAGAGGAGGAGGGGATTTATTATTTATTTATTGCAATTTCAGATTATTGCTGAAGCACTATAGTGGCTATCACTGAAAGCAAACAGTAGCGTTGCCACAACATTTCACCACTCTTCTACCTTTGCTTCTCTACTGTTGACAGAAGGAAAGGGGGCATTAATTTGACAGGCTCTCGTCCTTCCCACAGAGCAAGTCAGTTGCCTTGTGTATTAATGAGCTCCTCTGTCTTTTAGTGCACTTCCAACAGATTGTTAGTCATTAAACTGTCAGACCCTTGGTCTTCTCTAAGAAATGTGCGTCAGAGCCTGGACTACAATCAGCAGGAGCATGACAGGTAGGGGGCAGCAAGACTGACTCCATCAGGCAAAGCTTCAGCTAAAATGTTTCCTTGACAATCAGCACCGAGGGAAGAACAAGAGTACCACACTGATGGTAAGTACATGTAGGGGGGCAATGGAGTCACCATACCTTTGAGAGCTTTGAAGGTGATCCAGTGGACATACTAAAATAAGGATATGCTGTTCTTTAAAAACCAGGATGTGTGGGGGAATTTGCAGAGGTTATTACTATGGTTGCTTTTAGCTCTTGATCTAAAATGTCCAAGTTACAATAGCACAGACCCAGGGAAGAGCCCTGTGATTTGTATGAGACAGCTCTGCATACAGGTACTCCTCCAGTTCCATTAAAAACCACAACAGAAAGACTTCAGTTCCAAGTGATACTGAGATGAGCCTAGCTGCCTAGAGGACCTGAAAGCCTGACTCCTCTGGATGTTAATAGGAATTGCAGGATTTTTTTAAAAAAATGGCATATACTGTATAGTAAAGGCCCCTCTCCAGAAAAGAAAAAGAAAACAAAATATCAGCAGGAAGTGGAAGATAGAAGCCAAGCCCTGAACAGTTATAGAAAGATGGACATCTAGAAATACAAGGAATGAAAAGCAATAACCTCTCCGAAGGAAGGCTATGTTGCAGATACTGTCTGGTCCATAGACAAGTGGTCAGGGTAGTGCTCAAATGAAAGGAGAATCTGTTATTCTGGTACACACGAAGCTGTGCACTTATGCGCCAGTAAGTGAGGTTAGAGGGATCAGAGAGTCTTGGCCCTGAAGCTTTCTTTGCTCACAGCTTGCGGGGAACACATATTTTCCACAGGTTTTTGAGTCTTTGTTGCATATATGCTCTTATCAAGTGGGTCCTCAAATGGAAGATTCCTTTGCTGAGGTCTCATGAAATTGAATGTGTTTACAAGGATCCTGTGCCAAAAGAAGAAGAATTAGCAGATTTGTTTTATTACAGAAGTAGAATAATGAAACTATGGACACTTGTCACCAGAGTCATCATGAGGTAGTCTTTACTTGCTATTATAGAAGCCCAAATCTTAGGCTAAGAGTCTTTCCACTTTAACACACTTGCTATTTTTCTATAGATCTTCTGTTAAATCACAGACTACCATAAAGCTCTTTGACTTGCCCATTCTGGGCAGCTTTGAGACTGACACTGGCCTTTGAACTTAGTTCATGGTGACATTATATTAGAGAGTTCAGATTCAAACATATTATCATCCTTAGATCGATACTTTGGAAACGGGCTTAAGATCACAAGCTTTAAGTATACCATCTTGGTTTTTAGGTATGAAGTCCACAAATTTTATGCCAAAACATGAAATTATAGAGCAGCTACAGCTTAAACAAACGAAAACATGGATGGGGAACTAGTTTGGGGTGGCCAGTAGGCTCTCCCCACCCAATCTGGATGAGGTTATGGAACATGGCCAAACCCCTGACAAGATGACAGCTAAAGTGCTGCCTAGAGCTTATCCATGTGTTGCTTCATCTGGAGACTTGTGTGAGAAAGGCAAAGGAAGAATGAGACTGGGCTTAGTCAACCTGCACTTTGAGAACTGGCTGATGCTAAAATTCAAGTTTTTGTGCTTCATTCTCCTTTCACCTTGCACGTGTGGGGAAGATGACAGGAGAATGAAGCTGAACTTCCTAGTTATGGAGATCTCAAGCTCCACTCCCATCATTCATCTGAGACAGTGGACTTTGTGGAGCTGGAAAGGCAACTTTGGAACCTTAGCAGAGCAGGTGTTCTGCCCACTTGCATTAAAATACACTGTATGTATGACAACTGAACTCACCTCTTTCCTGCGCTCCAAGGATTTCAGCTTTGCTCGAATCAGGGTGCTTGTTGGAGAAGAAGTAGGTGTCTGTAACTGGACAAGATATAAAATGAAATTCTGCCTTTCAAACTTTGCAGTACCCTATCCCCAATCAAGCTACCGTAGCACGTGGCAGGTTGCTGCCAACTTGCTTGCCTAAATTAAGATTAATTTATGGAGCACAGTTATTCATGCCCCAGAGGAAGTCTTTTGTTAAGGGGAAAAGAAAGGGTTCAAGAGCTGGGACACTACACAGATGAGAGTGTGTTAGGGAACACTTTTATCCTAAAAGCATGTTGGCTGGGAAACTTTAAGATTTGGTGGAAGTCTACTATGTTGACAGAATACAATATATGCACCTCTATGACAGGAATTGCCCTAATACTGCAGCAAGGGCAAAACACAGTGGCTGTGGGCAGCACAGAGGAAGAACATACTTATGCCAAATCCTATACTCTTTCTATCAGTAACTACAACACAAGCACAGAGGAAGAACATACTTATGCCAAACCCTATACCCTTTCTATCAGTAACTACTGTACAACACAGGCCTCTGACCTGGTGCAAGAAACATTGACTGTCTGGTAAGGTGCCTATCGCCACAGAAACCTTGCTGGAGTGACTGGGCTAGTGACGCCTTATCCCTCAAAGATCCATGTCAGCCCTGGCACTGCTCAATAAGACAATCAATTAACCACACTGGTTGTTTCTATGTTGGATGGAGGTAAAAGAAAGGATTCACTCTCCTCCACCTTTGTGCAAACTATTTAGTTGGCCTTCAGGATAAGACTTCTGGGTGAGAGAACAAAGAGCTCGATGCTGCCTGGGACACACTCTGTCTTAAACTAAACAAACAAACATTTTAAAGAATAAATCCAACAGGGAAAGTGTACACACCCCACAAATCAGGACAGAAATCAGTCAAATAAAACACACCCACAAAGCCCCCTTGACCCCAAAAAATCAGGAAAAGCAAGAAGCAAGCAAATAAGGGCAAAAATTCCATCAAAGACCTCATCCAACCAAAACAAGTAGTATATGGAGATATTTCTTTCCCACCACCACTTAATGCCTGTTTTCTTTGGTGCTCCCATACATCAGCAGGCAGGCAGCAAAAATAATCCAAGAAAGGAAAAGGCTAAACAGATCTCCAAAAATTTAACAAGATCTCCAAAAAATCAGGAGGAAAAAATTCCAAAAAGTTACTCCTAGGAGACACATCGGCACAGGCAGACCATCTAGCAGTGGCAGAAAAATAATCCAAATACTTGGAAGGTGGGGAAATCCCCCAAAAAATCAAGGAAAAAAGAAAAGGGTCCAAGACAGAGCAAGGCATAGATAGACAGGACAGCACAAGACAGAGGGCACCAGGAGCTTGTACAAGGAAAAAAATGAAACAAAAAAGATCATCCCCCCTGGGTCCCAACCAATTCAGGCCTTTTTACAGCTTTAAAATTCCTGGTGCCTCTCCAGATATTTCTGACTGGCTGCTGGCAAGAGGGCTCATAACACTATTGGATGAAAAAATTCCTGGCTGATTTGACAGAAAAGGACTGAAAGAAAGGTTAAACAAAAGAGGGAAACAAGAAAAACGTGAAACTTCTATTTTCTTCTCTTTAAGAGACTTTCTTTCGGGAATCAATAAAAGAACATAAGAATAAAAGAGCCTTTTTTGTGTTTTTTCCCATTTGTTAAAACACAGAAGTCCTATGTCTAGATATGGCAGCTCTTATCTTTTGCTCCACCATAAATGCCAAATAGGATTCCTCTTTTATTCATGAGGCATCCAGAAGTAGGATTAGACCTAAAATATCTCCAGATAGATTTAGGGAGCCAACACAATACATGTAGACATCTACCAATAACTCTGTTTATGAAAAGAAACCTCTTAGTGAAATGAAAGGTGATCGGTCTTCCAGCAGTCCTTACCAGGCTGACATTCTCCTTACTGCCACTCTTTGGGTCCTTAGTACTTGTAGATGGTGAGACATCTTTTCCCTTTCTGTCCAAAGATACATGACTTCCCAGGACTTTACGCTATATTAAGGAAAGGAAAATATTGCTTTGGACCACTACTGAGTACTGAATAGAAAGATAACAGACCAATACTTCTCTATAGACCTCTATATCAACTTGTTAAGCAGGCAAAAGGGTAAGATTCACAATTCTCCTTTGAATTGCACAGGTATGAACAGCTCAGTTTTGGTTATACAGTGGTGCCTCGCTTAACGAGTGCACCGTTTAACGATGAATCCGCATAGCGATCAATTTCTTTAGATCGCTAATGCGATCCCATTGCGATATTCTGAATAGGCAAAACATTGCATTGCGATGATCGGTAAGCGTTTTGCTTACTGATCTTCGCATTGCGATGTTTTTTAAACAGCTGATTGGCGGTTCCAAAATGGCCGCCGGGTGCCCAAAATGGCCACCACAAATGTTTTCGCGCCCTGCCCTCGCTTACCGAGGGCGCGAAAATGGCGGCGCTATGGAGGAACTTCGCTGAACGGTGAGTTTGGGAGCCATAGGAACGCATTAAACGAAGTTTAATGCATTCCTATGGCTTTTTCCATTCCGTTTAGCGATGTTTCTGCATAGCAACGATTAATCCGGAACGAATTAATGTTGCTGTGTGGGGCACCACTGTATATGGATTTCCCCCAATAAATCTTTCCCCTGAAAAGCTGAAATGATATTTTAGCACTCATATTTCGGTCAATATATTCTACCTTACATACCATGGTCTCTCTTGATTTACATTCATCACTTAATTGCAACACATTTCTCTACCTGACATGTGTTTGGCTCAGATTTAGAAATTCAGTTGCTACTTTTTTTACACCACCAAAAACCTGTCTTCCCATTGAAACCTCTCGCATTGGGGGAAGGGAGCCATAACTAAATGAGATGGCAATGAGCCATTTCAACTCTATTGATTTTTGCTTTCATAAGTGCTCATAATGAATAAGGAGTCCCAGAAAGCGGCAGGATAATCTAGTAGCAAGTATCTATTTAACTTCTCACCCCATATGCTCCATCTGTCAAAAATTAAGCAAACCTTATTCTGAGCAGTATGACTACTCAAGGCATTACTAATAATAGACTGATTCTTACCTTGATTAGGCCACTAAAGGAATGCGTGCGGGTACGTTTCTGAGTCTGTGGTGTGGGTGTTCCTCTCTGAGGAGTGAGAACTTCAGGGTGCTTCTGAAACTAAGAAAATGATTGCTTTGTTAATTCTACACAAAGCCCAGTCCTGATTTTTTTTCACGCCAGTCACATTGCCCAAAGCCCAGTTCTATAGTTGTTCCCAGTCTATTTCAATACCAATTAAAAATGCAACATTTGATCTTAAAAGCTCCTCAGTGGCTTGAGAAAAGGACCCACCAGAAGTCATCTTTTCCCACATACATCTTCCCTAAACACTGACATATCTTTAAAAGGCTTTGATCTGGGTATTCCCACCAGGTGAAGTGAGATAGCTGGCCCATAGGGAGAGGGCTTTCCTAGGAGTGGCATTCTGGCTGTGGAATTCTCTCTCCACATAGACTTACCTGTCAATTTCTTTAATATAAAAAAGGTTATATTGAAATTAACACAAGTCCTAAAACAACAACAGGTCACTAAGAGTATAATGAAAAGCGAGCAGTGAGTATATATATATATATATAATTACATGAATTAATTAAATAAATGATGAATTGCCAATTAAATACTCAACAATTAGTGACCCCTAATGCCAGTCTATTTCAATACCAATTAAAAATGCAACATTTGATCTTAAAAGCTCCTCAGTGGCTTGAGAAAAGGACCCACCAGAAGTCATCTTCTCCCACATACATCTTCCCTAAACACTGACATATCTTTAAAAGGCTTTGATCTGGGTATTCCCACCAGGTGAAGTGAGATAGCTGGCCCATAGGGAGAGGGCTTTCCTAGGAGTGGCATTCTGGCTGTGGAATTCTCTCTCCACATAGACTCACCTGTCAATTTCTTTAATATAAAAAAGGTTATATTGAAATTAACACAAGTTTTAAAACAACAACAGGTCACTAAGAGTATAATGAAAAGCGAGCAGTGAGTATATATATCTATCTATCTAATTACATGAATTAATTACATACATGATGAATTGCCAATTAAATACTCAACAGACAATTAGTGACCCCTAATAAAAAGTGGTCACAGCAAACAGAGAAAAGAAAGGCATATCAGATTTCATTAACATTGTTGTGAGTCTGATGTGTTTGTGCCCCTCTCAGTTGCCGCTTTAATTTCTCTGCCAATGCCAACTGTCAAACTCTATTTCTCCAACTGCAGATGAAGGTCTCACTGGCCAGTTTTCTAGGCCTGAAGCATTTTCTAATCTGCCTGTTTACAAATAAAAACTTGGCACCATTTTTATAGTCATTTTGTGCCGGGGGAGGCTTTTGAAAAATCCTCCCAGGCCTTTTAAAAATCTAGGATCCTAGGGTTTTGAATAAAAGTTTATAAGCTGTGTATATTAATCATGCTTTTATTGCTCTTTCCTGGGAATTTTTGTGCTGCAATTTGCTGTTTTATGATGCTTTATTTTACCACAGTATTTATTTTAGACGTTGAGCCAGCCACTGAACAGTGTTATTGATTCACCTACAGTATATAAATACCAGAAATAACGACCAGTACTACCTGTTCTATGAGCTTCTTTTTCTTGGCAGAGTCTGGCATATTATGAACATGGCGGAAGAGCTCTTTCAGGGCTTCTTCTGTATGCTGCTGAGTGTCTTCCTGATGACTGGAGGGATCCAACAGCCCTCGCTTCTTGAATCTCTGAAGTTGTAAGTCTTTGAAACCCTGCGGCACTGGCAGGTCGAGGTCATCCTGGTGATATTCAGAACATTTAACACGTCAACCTTTTTTGTCCTAGCCCCATCTCAGACATCTGTTAACATCCCACCCTAAAGGTGGCTTGTCTTTTATGGGCCTAAGAAACCTGGTACAAACCTAATTTCCAATAAGAGGGCAGGATCTGGAATGCACAGCTGAGGACCCAACCCTTTCTTCGTCCTTCCCCTCAAATATGTTGTTAGCTATACCAAGATGGTCCATGGAAGACTTACTTTGTTAAAAAATTGTTTGTTCAGTTTTCTAGAGCATCTGTCCTAGACAGAAAGTATTTTATCAGTACGGATGTATAGCAGACTAAATGACAAATCCAAGGTCTAATGCTGTTTCTTCAATCCTCCAAAGTGTGGAATTTACAATAGAATTCTCTTTGGGGTAATTCCTGTTTTTGTGACTAAGTCAGTCATCAGTTTTCAGTCAGCTGACCTAACTGAAAACTGCTCATGCAGTAGGCTTGCTTCAATGATAAATTATCCTACCTTTGAGGCATGTGCTCTGGAGTCCAAGTAATGCAGTCTGGCACATTCCCGGATGTATACAGGAGCCTTAGATGGTGAGTGAAACAAGAGTTAGATGTACATATTTAAGGCAAAATGTCTCTGACTCTGAGATAGACACATGTTGATTGCTTCCGTCCCTTAAGACAAGGACTGAGCAACTTTAGGATCTAATAAGTTTTCTTTACAGAAAAGATGGAACCACTGGCATTTGGACAGTGCACAACCCATGAAGCCTTTGGCTTTAGCTCATGGCCACCCTCACAAACTTGAGGGGGAAAGACTGCATTTGTGCAAATGGCTCCTTTTCCCTAAAACCACCTACCACACAGGTCAGCCAGTTTCAGAGGGTGGGTAGCAGCTGCAGAGAGAACAGTTAACTTCTGCACAAGTAAGCACCTCTCTGAACCCTTCCCCTGAAATTAGGCTTAAGAATGTCATGTGTATTTGAACTGGCATGCCAAGATAGAGAGGAAAAGAAAGAGATGGAGAAGAGTGGTTTAAATAATAGCATAAGAATGAAGGAATATGTGTGAATGGGCAGAAGGGTGTAAAGGAGTGAGTATGAGTGGGTTGTGTGAATTGGTTCTGTGTAGCTTTGACCCACTACTAGAGTGGTGCTATGAAGGACTTCAGCCCTGGGGCTGAAAAAGATTGCCAACCTGGATCTGCAGACATAAAAGGCATTCAGGATTAGAGCCTAAGCCTTTGTTCTCTCCTCAGTTATGTTGTATGTCACCAAATGCTTGCTTCAATTCCTAAGGGAGCTCTTATTCTGTTTCCAGAGACTGAGTAGAACCATATTATTAACTAAAAATCAAAGCTGGCTAAATAACAAAGATTGGTGAGGACCTTTTTTTAAAAAATGGCAATTCCTATAATGTTTTGTGCAGCAGAAGGAACAGATACCTTGAACAAACCTCAACTCAGGGGTTGTGCAAGGTGTCTCTCCACCTGAGGAGAGAAGTCTGATTCGTCCCTCTTTGGTATATCTACCTTGAAGAGCTTTTGTGAGTGCTTGATCATGAAAGCCATCCCATTATTCAGTTTGGCAATGTTCTCCTGAAGGTCATTGGCTGTCACCTAGTAGAAGGTATGAAGGCAGAATAATTAGAAGACAACAGGTGTTTCACAAGCTCACCGAAAGGCTGATTTTCAGGGGAACTGACACACAGGAGTCAAATCCAAGAATATGGTCAGGATCTTTTCCTTTTCCAGTCTGATTTTTTTTTTTTTGGGTGCTGCTACATAAAACATGGCACTTACATTTCGAGGCCACAAAATGTGAGGTGCAAACATAAGAGCAAGATTATGAGCAGACATCTTGTTCTTATCCTGTTTCTTGGCTGTTTGATAGAGCAGGTCCAAGAGCAGCTTCAGCAGATTGCGGTTGGGGGCTGGCAGGATCAAAAAGAGCAGCTGAAGGGCTTCAATCTGGCGTTCTTTATCTGGAATGCTGGTCTTGTTGCCCTTCTCATCAAATTGCGTTAGGTCTATAATTGAAAAGTTAGGAGAATATCTATAAACCTCCAGCAGAGCAGACTACAAGAAACCTCAGTCATGCAGAATTCAAGAATTCTGTCAAGTTTGGGGCTCTTTAGAGAAAAGGCTCCTGAGGGGGGATGTGATAGAGATGTAGACAGGGGATAGATAAAGTGGATAGAGGGAAGCTCTTTTCCCTTTCACGCAATACTAGAACCAGAGGACAGCCACTCAAATTGAGTGTTGGGAGAGTGAGAAGAAACAAAAGAAAATATTTCTTTACCCAGCATGTTGTTTGTGGAACTCCTTGCCACAGGATGTGGTAATGGCATCTGGCCTAAATGCCTTTAAAAGGGGATTGGACAGATTTTTGGAGAAAAGGCCATCACAGGTTACAAGCCATAATGGGGATGTATAATCTCCAGGCTTAAAAGGAAGGTACCTCAAAATGCCAGATGCAGGGGAGGGGCATCAGGAGACAAGTCTCTAGTTGTCTCATGTGCTCCCAGAGGCATCTGGTGGGGCCCCTGTGAGATACAGGAAGCTGGACTAGATGGGCCCATGGCCTCATCCAGCAGGGCTCTTCTTAAGTTCTTATATTTTCTTATGCCCAAACACAAGTGGATCTAGAGACACTCTTTGCAAATTAGGATGGCAGACATCTACAGGCCCTGTGCATCACAACTACTGCAGCAAACTGCTTTATGGGGAAATGGGGAAGGAAAGGACAGCCTCACAGACTCTATATCAGATACACCACAGCCTTTCTGATGAACATATAAAATTCAAGTATTGTCCCAGTATATAATAATTTGGTTCCTATTTCTTCACAGTAGTTGCTTACCTGAAATTTTCAGGTGTGCATGGAAATGTTTATGGGTCAACAGTGGCTCTGGTAATTGTCCCAGGAACATTTTCAACACAGTGGCCACATCATTGGAGTGAAACTCCCCAGAATCCAAGTCAATTTCAATCCCACTGTTCAAAGCATCTCTCAGATTCTGCTGCCTGGTACTGTTTCCTGGCACTCGGAACAAGCCTTCCACCCGCAGATCTGCAAAACAACAGGGAAAATAAGATAGATACAAAGGATGTGACAGATGAAATATTGTTACTCCTCAATCTTTTAGCAGGGACTACCTAATATTTTATAATCTTTCCTTTTTCAACCAAAATTTGGGTTTCCTCCCAACCCCCAGGGTCTCCTGCAAAAGAAGCATTCATGTGGTTGGTGGTGGAAAATGTTTAGAAACATAATTATTACAGAATAGCCACACCTGAGCTGGTGTCATTAGGATATTTTGGGAATTCTGCCTTGGACATTATGGGAGTGGTAGTCCAACATATTTGGAGGGCATGATGTTGAAGAAGGCTGTGCTTCAGCTGAGATGCTAGCAGTCATATAAACCAAATCTACACCTGCAGATTAGTCCACAATCCTTGATTTAGCAAAGACAGAAAGGGAGCCAACATCACTTACTCTTATGTAGATACTCAATCAGTTGAGATATTTGAGCAATGCCTTCTTCAGTCAGTGGAGCCCCAAACACCACTCCTTTCTCTGGAAATTAAGGAAAAAAGAAGATACACAGATGTGAACAACCAAAAATATCAATTGTTTTTCCTCTTATAAGATCCAGAACTGTGCAAAGATTATTCCTACTATTCTGAAAAGACCAATCTAAAAGCCTCAAGCCAGATTATACATTCACTCCATCATCTTTGAAATGCCTCTCCTATAATCAGCTCATGAAGTGTCAGGTTTTTAGAAATCTTGTTGTGTGCCACAAAGTAAGCTAAGATATAAAACAGGGAGTTCGGGATTCTAAACTGGGACGTTTCAAACTGCCCCCAGAGAAGAGATGGTTCATTTCTGAATCATTTCTGATCAGACCAATCCAGATCCATCCATTCAGCTTTTCTGTTTCCACAGTGTCTTCTTTAATATCTCTTGATACTCACAGGTAGGGTGTAACAATGACAGACTTTTGCACTTGTCCCTAGTATCTGAATTCATAGGTGTGCTGCTTCTGTTCAAAGAAGCTCCACTGAGATGGTTTTTTGTCTGGTTCTAAGCTACATGTCTCAGTTTTAGTCAGCTGAGGGAGTGCTATGTTTGGACAAGTGCCACCCACATATATGCGTCGGGACAGCTCTTGATTCCTGGTCCTCTGCCAGAGGCAGCACATTAGGAATGACAGCACAATTTATTTAGTTACAAGACTTCAGCTTCATAGAGGAGTGCATCCCACTTCTTTTCTTTAAACTGCTGGCTGTGGCTGCATGTTTTCCTTCTGCAAAAACCTATATCTATATAGAATATGATGGTCTCAGAAACCTGACCTTAGGTCAGTATTTCAGCACTTAGCCTATAGCTGAACTTTGGGGAAACTGATGCATCCTAAGAGCACCATGACTTATACAGAATCTAGGGTGTTGGTATAAACTTATTACGAGAGTGTCCCTGTATCTGCGGGTGATATGTTCCAAGACCTGCTGCGAATGCCTAAAACCGCAGATAGTAGTGAAACCTATTTACATGGCAGCTGCAGCCATGTGCTGTTTCTGTAGAGCAGGGCGGTGGCAGCAGTGAAAAACTGAAACTATGGAAACTGAATCCACACATTAAAGTGTTCTAATGTATTTTCAATCAAAATGTCAATTTGTCCAAGGGGAATCCTAAAGCCTTATATGATGAAGCCAAGGAAGATTGCAGTTAGATTGTACTGATACTACAGAACAGCTAAAAAACTTCAGTACTTATTTTGCAAATGCATTTCTTGTGCCACACCATGTCTTGTAGTCACATTTATGGAAAGTGGAGGCTCTGAATCTACCAGGAACAGCATGTTGAAGCCTTCCTGAAGCTAGACAGGTATAGATCACATAGGGAAGAGGGCATGCTCTTGCAACAAAAGGGGAGGAACCAATTATAACCAAACATGATACTGTATCGTGGCTCTTCAAAAGGCTATATGGGGCTGTTGAAAGAGAAAATATGGAATTCAGTTGAGACATAAAAGAACTTTAATAACTTAGTGCATTATATTCTATAACAAAATTTCTGCATTTCATCTCACTTTGCTGAAGTAGTTTTACTACTACTGTAGTACTCAAAGCTCATTAACCACTAGTTCTAGTACTATACAAATAAGGCCTAACATCTGCAAATGTATTATAATTAAGTACTGCCTTCTTTAGCATTCTGTTTACATCTCTCCATATTCCTCACCATATAAAATGACTTCATATTTTTAACTCATACCCATGCCAGTACTACCTTCTGTTATTTTTATTATGAATATAAATGGATATAAGCAAAACTTCTAATTTTGGAATTGCTGAAATTGCCTGAAAGCATCTTTCCTTGAACTAAAATGGATGGGAACGTGTGAATTCAATTCAGATGATTATCATATCTACTATTGTGGGCAAGAATCCCGTAGAAGAAATGGAGTAGCCCTCATAGTCAACAAAAGAGTGGGAAAAGGTGTACTGGGATACAATCTCAAAAATGATACAATGATTTCAATACAAATCCAAGGCAGACCATACAACACCACAGTAATCCAAGTTTATGCACCAACCACTCTTGCTGAAGAGGCTGAAATTGACCAATTCTATGAAGACTTACAGCACCTTCTAGAACTGAAACCAAAGAAAGATGTTCTTCTCATTCTAGGGGATTGGAATGCTAAAGTAAGGAGTGAAGCGATAAAAGGAACAGGTAAATTTGGCCTTGGAGTTCAAAACGAAGCAAGGCAAAGGCTAATAGAGTTTTGTCAAGAGATCAAGCTGGTCATCACAAACACTCTTGTCCAACTTCTACACATGGGCATCACCAGATGGGCAATACTGAAATCAGATTGATTATGTTCTCTGCAGCCAATTTGGTGGACAGAGTGCCTGTAGAACTATGGATGGAGGCTCGTAACACTGTACAGGAAACAGCAACAAAAAACATCCCAAAGAAAAGGAAATGCAAGAAAGCAAAGTGGCTGTCCAATGGAGCCTTACAAATAGCAGAGAAGAGAAGAGAAACAAAATGCAAGGGAGATAGGGAAAGTTACAGAAAATGGAATGCAGACTTCCAAAGATATCGAGAAAAATAATAGAAAGGGAAAAACCAGAGATCTGTTCAAGAAAATTGGAGATATTAAAGGAACATTTTGTGCAAAGATAAAGGACCAAAATTGTAGACATGATAAAGGACCAAAATTGTATGGACCTAACAGAAGCAGAAAACATCAAGAAGTGATGGCAAGAATACACAGAGGAATTATACCAGAAAGATATGGATGTCCTGGACAACCCAGATAGTGTGGTTGCTGACCTAAGTGGGCCTTAGAAAGAATGGCTAACAACAAGGCCAGTGGAAGTGATGGCATTCCAGTTGAACTATTTAAAATCTTAAAAGATGACTCTGTTAAGGTGCTACACTCAATATGCCAGCAAGTTTGGAAAACTCAGCAGTGGCCAGAGGACTGGAAAACATCAGTCTACATCCCAATCCCAGAGAAGGGCAGTGCCAAAGAATGCTCCAACTACCATATTTCACACGCTAGCAAGGTTATGTTCAAAATCCTACAAAGTAAGCTTCAGCAGTATGTGGATCGAGGACTCCCAGAAGTACAAGCTGGATTTTGAAGGGGCAGAGGAACTAGAGACCAAATTGCTAACATGCACTGGATTATGGAGAAAGCCAGAGAGTTCCAGAAAAACATCTACTTCTGCTTCATTGACTACGCAAAAGCCTTTAACTATGGCTAGTTCTTAAAGAAATGGCACTACCAGACCACCTTATCTATCTCCTGAGAAATCTATATATGGGTCAGGAAGCAAGAGTTAGAACTGGATATGGAACAACTGATTGGTTCAAAATTGGGAAAGGCGTACGACAAGGTTGTATATTGTCTCCCTCCCATTGTTGAGGCCGTAGTGGTGGTTGCTGTTGCTGCTATGGTTGCTCACCCTTGCCTCATTCAGTCTCTTTAACTGGAGTTACCCGGGATTGTACCTGGAAATCCCTACGTGCAAGCAAGCAGTGAGATCTATTTGTGAAGAAATTTGCAGTGTACTGTTAGTGGCTACATACCACATAAAACAGAGTGTCATCCATGGTTCTGATGTCACAAACTATCTCCAAATGAATAGTTTGTTTTCCAACAGCATCCGTTGTAAATGGAGAGAGCAGATAAAGCTTTTTATTTTCCATATCAAAAACCAATTAAATTCACTTTAAAAAATATTGTGCTGGGTTTTCTATCCTAGGTTCCTCCTGACAGAAAAGGATGTTCATCTGCACTTTACTGTAAGAGTAAAATATTCATTTCTCAAAAACTTCCTTGAAGATTTTACTGATCAGACTGCAGAATCAGAATCAAGGATATGATTTTCATGCCACAGTGGTTAAAGTGCAGTATTGCAGCCAAGCCTCTGCTCATGACCTGAGTTTGATACTGATGGGTTCAGGTGACCTGCTCAAGGTTGACTCAGCTTTCTCTCCTTCCAACCTCAGTAAAATGAGTACCTAGCTTGCTGGAAAGCAAAGTGTTGAAACAACAATAACAAGGTTGACTCAGCTTTCTCTCCTTCCAACCTCAGTAAAATGAGTACCTAGCTTGCTGGAAAGCAAGGTGTTGAAACAATAGCATATGAGGATTTAGCACAAAAGAGAAAAAGGTCTGCCAAAACATCAGATTCACCTTTGCGCTTTGCAGACTTGAGAGAACGGAAAAACCTTGAGGACATGCCAGCCCCGCCAGGTATCTGGGGCTCCTCTTCTCCCATCAACTGGGCTAACTCTGCTCCAGGGAGATCAATGAGGCGGGTGATGTTGCTGACCACAATCTCTGTGAACACCTCAGGTTTCTCATGGCGCAGTTTCTCCACAAAAAAGTCTGGATTGAAGATGATTTGATGCCGCTGAAGGGAGGATTCATTGCAGATAACAAAACTGCAGATGGCATCTCTAGGGAAGACAAAACAAAGAAAAAGGTATTGATTTGGGGAATATACAGTACATGCAGTCCTCTTAAACCATGCAAAAGCTACTTGTGGTTAGCAATGCAAACACACAGCAAACAAGCCAAATGGGTCTGGATTTTAATTTGCAAACCTGCTGCCTTAATATAGCTTGTAACTGTTGGTGATATAAACTGTATATATTTGTGCCATATTCAGCATTTCAGAATAATATTTACTATGTATTTTATTAAAACGTTATTGTTATTGTTTAGTCGTTAAGTCGTCTCCAACTCTTTTTGACCCCTTGGATCAGAGCATGCCAAGCCCTCCTGTCTTCCACTGCCTCCCGGAGTCATAGTCCCTTCCCAAATGTTTTGCGCTACTTTGATGCTATGCATGCCCTTCCCACCAAATTATAAACCAGTTGGACAAACTTTGGTACATATAGCCTATGCAAAATAATTAGCATGAGAAACACCAACTTTTCTGTAACATTTTAGGGGAAAAATAGCCAAGCTTTAATAAATAATTTACTTTTTATGCTGCAAGACTTATGTTCCAAAACAGAAATATGTAAAAATCTTCCAGAGCTGAAGCAGCGATTATATTAAGGCTATGTATGGAAAAGTTGTATACTGTAACATCATCTCTAATGCAAGGATATCAAATTACCCTATCTTTCTTGAGGATGCAGTTTGACAGTGCAGTACAAATAAAATCCCCCCCCTTTTTTTCTTGGACTTGTTTCATGTTCAGTTTGTTGCAAGCCAAATATTTAAATGAAGTCTTTGCAAAAATGAGCCAAGCAAAGAAGACAAAGAAAGCTATCATTTAAAATTATCCAAATTCTTTCTGGTAAACTCGAGTATCCTGATATAGTGAATTGTTTCTATTTTATCAGAACCGCGAAAACCATTTTCTCAGAGGCAACATGTGTCCACTATGGAAACTATACCTGATGCTTTGCAGTAAGGCCAGCCCAAGGGCACGGTGAAGTTGAGTAGTGCGGTACGAATTGTACTAGAACGAAGAGGTTGGCAAAATCACTCCCAGAAGCAGCGGGCTGTGGAGAAGAATAGCTTTCTCCAGCTGTGTAGTGAACAAGCTGCTAAGCATAGCCCGGTTCTAGCGCTGCTTCATCAGCTTCCCCACAGTTTGATGTGCTTAACAAGCTGAGAACAAGATGGAGCAGTTTCAGCTCAAACAGCTGGGGATGACTGCCAATTGACCTCACAGTTGCAGTGCATTATGTGTCTTAACGTACAAGCCAGCCAGGGCCAATTCTGAAGTAAAGCACACTTTGTCCAAAACCTCTTCTGATCTCACTAGATCCAAGATTTCCTTCTAAGGAGACTTCTGCTAGTGCCACAAGAGTCTTGCCCCAATAAAAGTGCTCTTTCCATAACACAGCTATGCCGATCATTTGTAACTCCATCCCCACTGCCAAAAGCTATAATCCACACTGCAAGGAAAACCCACTGAACTAAAAGTCAAGTATCTTTCAAACAACATTCAATAGGTAGCAGACACCTGTCCATTTTATAATTTTTGGTTGTTAAATTTTAGTAAACCTTATAGTTCCTATTGTTAAATAAATAGAAAGTCAGATCTCTTACACAAGTGCTGAAAGCTTCTGGTGAGGCATTGGGAAGCAGAAAAACAGCAAGAACTTGTTCCTTGTTTTCAGAAATAGATCTGCCTGCTCCAGCACAGCCTATGCAAATTCCATGCACACTAAACAACACAAAGACTCATTTATTGGCCTTCTTGGCACAAATGCGTTGACCTTCATGTAGTCAAGGGAAAAGTCAGATCAAATAACTTCTGTCACTTTCTGTGTGGCAGAGAAGGTGGGGCTCACATACTAGCCACACCACCCATATAAAACTAGAACACAGAAAGGAGCTAACTTTTCTTTTATGTATTCATTGGAGGGGGCTCCCCCTCTATTTTGGGCAAAAACCTCCACAAACTTGGAATCAGATCCTAAATGGACTAAGTTGTATCTCCTTGTGGTATACGTCTCTCATTCATGTTGCATAATGCATATATCATTGGTTTGACACTATTACTATATATGGTGTTCTACAGAATACAAGAAAACTGGCCCGTTTTGAGGCCCTTACATTTTGAACAAATGACTTTATGACTGGACAATCTAGAATGTTACAGATCAGGACTGTGAGGGTTTGTGGCACCATTTTTTACGCACCCTCACTATATATTTGGCTAGGGGGTGGTGAAGGAAACACATACACAAAAGCACTACATGAAACACGCAGGAACAGTATACAGTGGTGCCTCGCATTAC